CATAAACTACACATTTATTTGGTTCTGTCCGCAATTTCGAACTAGAGTCGAAGACATGGCGCAATGAGCTCAACAGCGCTGCCACTTCACGTTTTCTCATTTAAAAGGGTTGACGTTGAAAAACAGAGAAGTTGAAAAGCATGAAGAAGTGGACGAACCCGATTGTTTGAAGGCGACCGGCATGGCCACGACTCCACCGCCGACCATATCCGCCACGATGAAGACCGCTGTCACAATCCATCCCAACTTTTTCTCGGGTGACATGGGTGCTAAAAATACGAAATTCATGGAGAGTTTTTCAAACGTGAGTTTTGAATTGAAATTAATGAAAAGTAGATTGAACACTGACTTTGAACACAATTCCCTACCCGTTTACTGTATGAGTACCGTAATCTTTCTCAATCATACCTGCCATCTTGCTAATTGTTCATAAATTGCTATAACATTCCCATTTAGAGTGTATCCCAGTTCTTCCCAAGAAGCTACCGTCGAGCAGGGCGATGCGTAGTGAAACGGGAAAAAATCAACAAAAGAAAAAAGTGATCGCTGCTCATAGAGTTTTATCAATGCCAGGCACGACACCCAACGACCGAATACGACCCTTCTCCCAATGAGCTTGCTTTCGAGATTCTCGTGACAGTCCACCACCGAGAGTAGCACTGCGCTAAACCTTAATAATGAAACACATGGTGAACCTATCCTTTACCTTTGTGGGTATTTTCACGAGTTCCTGGGACGACGTCAGAAATGGCAGAGGTCATGAGGCGTTTGGTGAGTAGTTCGTAAGCTCTGAGTCATATTTAGGTCTTTGAAAACGACGGAAGGGTCAAAACGTTGGCAGGATAAAGTGTAGACTTAACAACCTCGTGGTAGAAACATACTTACGAAACAACATTGAACAGAGGCTTCGGCGTTCAGAAAAGATCTCATAATAGTCCAAAAGGAGGGATTTAGGATAAGTCAAGCGAACAAAAGAATTGACCACTGAATGGTTCAGAAAATAGCCGCCTTTCTCCTAGCTGTCCCATCAGCTCCATGCTTGCACAAACTTTTGAAATCATTCTTTAGGTCAATGAAACCAGAGAGGGAATAATACTTTGAATTATCAAAGTGAACGCTCGAGCCCACAAGCGGGATTTTCTGTCACTGACTTTCCCCTCATAAACCCATAACAACTGTAGAAATCGCAGCTGGGGATGGGCTCACTCCATGCCTCCTAACACTCTTCCCCCCCCCCCGACTGATTGCAACGGGATGAACTATAGCTCATGATGGGCACAAATACATCTTTTGTCTAGGGAATACAATTTTCGAAGTCCAGGGCAAGCGCGAGGGGGAGTCAGTGGAAGAAATGGAAGGACTCAATGAAAAAGGGCTGCACAAGTCAAAACCACGGCAGAAGATGTCTCGCTTAAAATGAAAAAGTGACGATGTCAAACAAAAAGGGGACCCTGGGACGGCTTAGGGATTGATGATAGTGAGACTAAGAACATTTCACGGCGTCCTTGCTTTACACAAAGGCTTCAACTTCAGCTAACTCAACTCGAGGGACCCGGAAAGCAGTCTATGGGGCGCCCGAACGAGCGCTAGCTCGACACGCTGAATGCGAACTTGGGCATAGTTGGTATTCATCCGACTTCAGGCATTCAGTTGGGGGAACTGGCGTTATGCTACCAGAACAACGGACCTCGGCCTTAGAGTGGGCAGCTGCTCAAGAGTAGGAAGAAGTTCAAGTATAGGCTGGAAAGGATGTTGAGCAGAAAGAGGATTTCCCTCAGCGCTGGCAAGGGTACTTAAACAACAATGCAAACTAAAGATGCTACACTTTTTACCTAGTTTTTTTTTGTTAACAGCTGCTTTTGCAGCAACTGCAATGCGGAAGTTGGAGCCTAAGCCTTGCTACCAGGCTCCAGCGGTGGGGCGTTTAACCCGTTAAGCTGAGAGGTCCCGACTTGAAGATGAAAGAAAGAAATGTGGCTA